AAAATTCAGCTAATAGCTACATATTTAGCTGTGGACTTATTGATAATTCCACATTAAGTCTTAAAAGATGATAAATCAGGGCTAGTAAGTTTATTAATGCCTGATTTGGAAATGTTTCTCCCACAAAATATTTAACAATATCCATAATGATTTTGTAGTTTAAAATTTATAAATATTTACATTGACTTAACAAAAAATCAGTACCAAACTTAAATTTGCTTACTTGCTACAAAAATGAACTGTAGATCTGAAATTTTCCAGGAATGCAAAAAAAAAAAATTCATTTAATTATTTAATTCCAAGAAATGATAAGTGAACACACACACACACACACACACATATATATATGTATTTATTTTATTTTGCATTACTCATTTAAAACACTTATAAGAATAACACATAGTTATACATGTAGATAAATCTTATATATATATGTGTGTGTAAAAATTTCAGATAGAGTATATCTGTAAAGGGACAATATGAATAAAGACAAAAGGAAAACTTATCTTAACCGACATGTTTCCTCCTCTGAGGGAATTTATCAAGGCAAATGTAAGCCTTTCATTTGCCTTGATAAAACCCTTCAGAGGATGAAATGCATCAGCTAAGATAAGTTTTCTTTTTGTCTTTATTCAGATATATATATATATATATATATATATATATATATATATATATATATATATATATATATATAAACATTTAAACATTATTTTTAGAGGATACCAATATTTGAGTAGTCTACTAGCTTGCACATTTGAGAAAACTTATTAAAGAAAATACACCCTCTGGCAGGATTTGAACCAGCATTCTCTTTTGCAGGAGAAACCGCTGCTTAATCAGATGTAATTTGACCACTCAGCTACAAAACACTTCACAATCAAGCAAAGTTTCATTTGCCTTTGAAGCACTTTATAGTCAAGTGGTCAAAGCATGTTGGATTAAACCAAAGTTTCTCCTACAAAGGTGGATACAGGTTCAAATGCCTGCCAGAGAGTCCATTATAATAAGTTTTCTCGAATGATCAGGTTGATAGATGAAATAAAATACTATTTAAAATAAATGGAGCATTTAATCAAATATGGATATACAGTAAAAATAATGTTCAACATAATAAAAATATGTCGGATTAAAAAATGAAACCCTTTAACTCTTTAGAAATGTATATACTGGGTGTAACAGCAAAATTGTCCAAATCATGGAACAGCATAATTGGCCATCCCACAAAATGTTTAATATCTTAAAAACCACAAAGCTAATTGAATTTCTTTTTTCTAGGTTTTCAGATAAGATGTTCAGCTATCTTGACACCATTAGTTGTAAGAATCACTGAAAAACCATTTGAGTTATTCAGCTAGAAAGAGAACAGGTCAAAATCGTTTTGTATCACCCCCCACTGTCTTCCCAACTAAGAGGGAAAAGAAGAGAGGAAAACTGGATCAAGAGGTCACAACAGGAAGAGGGATCATCATGTCAACTTAGAACTAAAGAGATCAATTAGAGAAGATCTAACTCAATCCATATGAGGTTTGGCATGTGAGAGAGGAGATTCAGTTCTGACAGTCCAAGGAGGAGTGAAAAAAGACTTGAAAATGAAATCATATGTGAAACCTGTGAGACAACTTGTTACTCCAGGACAGAAAGTTAGAAGGTTAGAGAGGGTGAATAAGTTGGAAAATGATCCTGGAAATAATATATATATATATATATATATATATATATATATATATATATTTTTGGTTTATTTCAATTTTCCATGAGCTTCCGATCCTTAGCTATGATTAATTAATGATGAACATGTCATTTTTGTTTATGATCAATTTCATCACGATACTTCTGTTAAGTTTGTTATACATTCCTCTTGCTCAAAGTAGAATCCAATAGTGTTATAAAAACTGCAGAGAATTCCAGTAAGATATCTTTAATCATTTCTAAGATATAATAGTTCAAAGCTTAATCTAACAAATGGACAATTTTGCTCTTACACCCAGTTTATATATATATATATATATATATATATATATATATATTAAATAAAAATAAAATAGACCACTTTAACACAGCCCTTTTAAAGGACTGCGGATCATCAGACTTTACTTCCAAACAAAAAATGAAAAGAAAATTTACACCTATATATATATATATATATATATATATATATATATATATATATATAAGCAAGTGTAAATGGATATAAATCCGACAGAATGAAGAAATTTTGAAAAAACAAACAAAAATAACACAAAAAATAACATAAAAACACAAGTCTTATTCAGAACAGATAACTGAAAATTTTTAAAATGATCAGCCTTCCGTCTAACATGGTCACGCCGTCGTCACATATGTTATGAAAGCGTCGCCCATGTCCATCGTATTTGTCATATTGAACTGAATTGTATTTTGATGAATATTGTCTTGAAAAAGGTTTATTAAACCGAAACGTCAGATGTCGACATTTCTTTCATTTTAACTACATTTAAGGATTTTTGTTTGTTTTTTCAAAATTTCTTCATATATATATATATGATAAGACAAAGTGGAAAACCTTATAAATGATGTGTTTTGCAGACATCTGTTGGTCTTGACTTCTTCAAGTCAAAATGAAAGATAAAACTGTGTGTAAAGAAAATGTATTGGTATTTTGGGGGATAAGAGGGGAAATAAATTTATTGTCCCTCTTATCCTCAAAAATCCCAATACATTTTCCTTACAGTTTTGTATTTCATTCCACCTTGACATCATTTAATAAGCTTTTCATCACCTCTGCTTTTGTTTTGAATTTATTATACATCCTATAAACTTAAACTTTTGAATAATGGTTACTTAATAAATTTTAAATTTTATTGTTTGTATTTTTATGCTATAATTTTTATAATTTAAATTATAAATTTAAATTACAAACTACCTACTTTCATAAATTTTATAGTTTTATATTATTTTATATATGTATTATGTAGTGCTATATTTTATAACTTTTTGTTTATTATTTTTATTTCAAATTAAATTTAATTATTTTTCTAAAGTTTGTATTTTATAACTTTTTTACACTTTTTTATAAATGGTTGCAGGGTGCAGTGATTTTCATATAATGATTGTATAGTTCCAAGTACTCATTGAATTTATAATTTCAAACATATTTTTTTTAAACTTCTTACAAAATATGCAAACTACACAAAGATGACCTGAACTGTACTTGTGTTTAATGTTCTGAGTTATTTTATGTGTCACGTATTCTTTTCATTAGATCTTTTGAATCTAATATCCATACATACATAGGGATGCATTTTGACTAATTGCTTTAAAGTGAGGGATAATATATACATATATATTTCATATTACTATAAATGTTATTTTAGTGTCTACATGTGTTTGAGTAGACAATCCATGTTTATTTAGAAACTGTGAAATTAATGTCTACTGGTCTAGATTATTGGAAGTCTTATTAAAGAAAATGTAGCTCTCAACAGGGATTGAATCTGTATTTTCTTTTTCTGAGAAACTGATTTTATATATTAGTACATTAAAATATTTTCACAAAAATACACATTTACAAGACAAGTTAAAACAACACAGAAATATACACTTAAACATGCATAGACACATACAAGAGTGTTGTAAAGTTTTGGGGTTTGACCAAAGTATATATATATATATATATATATATATATACATATAAATATAATATATATATATATATATATATATATTTATTAAATAATGCAGCTTAATTAATATTGTAAAGAAGTAGTCATTCAAAGAATAAATCAATAAAGTTAATGTAATTAATGGCGAATTCACTTCGCTAACACATTAAATAAAGCATTAACTCATTGACCACTTGTTGAACAATGCGATCATTGTTTTTATTATTTGTAAAATGGATTAGATGTTTGATCCATATTGCAAGTACTTTTGGTAACCATATAGAATCCTCAGGCATGTTATTCTTTCTCAATTTCAGGTAATTCTGGGTAAAATTTCAAGACAAAAATGAATATGATACTTGTCAAAAGATGTTTTTTTTAAAAAGTGTGTTATTAACAGTTAAGAATTTTTTTGAGTGTGCAGTAATGCGATGTTAGATTTTTGAATATTGTAAGTGAGAACACTACTGCATGCTCAAAAAAATTCTTGATGGTTAAAATAACATACTTTTTAAAAAAAAACATCTTTTGACAAGTATCACACACACACACACACACACATACACACACACATATATATATAGTTCTTTGCATAAGAATTCACTCCCTTGTGCTTTTCAACATTTTGTTGTCTTACAACCACAATTTCTTTTATTTTTTTGTACAGTGTAACCCGGATATAAGAGAGTTGTCAGGATCGGAGAAGAAGTCTCTTATATCCGGGTTTCTCTTATATCCGGGTTTGGTCTATTTTGTTTAGGTAAGTATGGCTCTAATTTGGGACCAGAGAAAATCTCTCTTATATCCGGGTTTCTCTTATATCCGGGTCTCTTATATCCGGGTTACACTGTATAATGGACCAATCCAAAATAGTTCATGTTGAAGTGAGAGAAAATATTACATGGTTTTCAAAATTATTTACAAATGAAAATCTGAAAAGTGTTGCGTATATGTATTAAACCCTCTTTTACTTTCAAACCCCTAAGTAAAATAAAGTGTAACCAATTGTCTTCAGAAATCAAATAATTAGTATTGAGTCCATCTGATTATGGCAATTTCTTTTGAGTAAAGTAAAAGAGTTACAGTCCTTCATTCAGAACTCTTCAGTTAAATATATTTGTTCTGTGAAAGCCACAAAGGTTTGTTAGAAGAGAAAGTTACTGATGAAGTGCATCATGAAAATCAAAGAGTTCATCAGACCAACAGTCAGGGATAAAGTAGGGTTAGGCTATAAAAATTATCCCATTTTTTGAGCATCTCATAGAATATGATTAAATTCATCATCCAAAAATGGAAACTGCAAATCTACCAAGACAAGGCTGTCCACTTAGACTGACAGGCCAGGCAAGGTGAATATTAGTCAGAGAAGCAAGCAAGAGGCCATGGTAACTCTGAAGGAGCTGTAAAGATCTACAGCTCAGGTGGGAGAATCTTTTTGCAGGATAACTGTTAGTCGTGTACTCTGCAAATCTGGTCTTTGTGGGAGAATGGTACCAAAAAAGCCATTGTTGAAAGAAAGCCAGAAGAATTCAAATTTGCTGTTTTCCATAAGTCATGTGGGAAACACAGCAAACACGTCAGATGAGACCAAAATTAAACTTTTTCGTCTGAATACAAAATGCTAAATGTGGCACAGACCTAACACTACACAATACCCTGAGCACATTATCCTTACTGTGAAACATGGTGATAGTATCATTGTATGGGGATATTTTTCTTCAGTAGAGACAGGGAAGCTGGTCAGCATTGGCAGTAAGCTAAATGTAGCCAAATACAAGGCAATCCTTGAAGAAAGCCTATTACAGTCTGCAAAAACTTGAGACTGGGGTGGAGGTTCACCTTCAAGAAGAACAATGACCCTAAACATACAGCCAGAGCTACAATGGAATAGTTTAGATCAAAACATATTAATGTGTTAGAATGATTCAGTTTAAGCCCAGATTAAATGCAGTTGAGAATCTGTGACAATATTTGAGCATTGATGCTTACAGTCTCCACCCAATCTGACTAAACTTGAGATATTTTGCAGAGATGAATAGGCAAAGGTTTTAGTCTCTAGATGTGTAAAGCTGGTAGAGACATAGCCTTAAAGACTTGTTGCAGCTGTAATTGTAGCAAAAGGTGATACTGTAAAGTACTATTACTGGATGGTGCTTGTGCGGCGTGTGGTGGGGGCGAATAAGTACGCATCCACGAGATGACAGCTATGTTGTCCTAATTTTTTTTCATGTCACAATTTAAATAAATTTTGCATCCTCAAAGCACTGTCCATTTTGTGTTGATCAAATGGTAAAAAGGAAAGGCTATTTAAATCATTTTGAATTCCAGTTTCTAACACCACAAAATGTATAAAAAATTCAAAGGCGGTGAATGCAAGACACTATATATATATATATATATATATATATATATATATATATGAAGAAATACAGTTTTAAGGTGTGCTATATTTATGGGATAAAGTGCTCAATATCAGGGATAGAGCATATGTAAATATAAATATAAAAGTGAACATTGAAGTCAACACTCTATATATATATATATATATATATATATATATACTGCCTTGTATAAGTATTCACCATATATATATGTGTGTATGCATATGTGTGTGTGTATATGTGTATAGGTGTTTGGACAACAATTTCATGTTTATGAAATTTTTTTGAAGACCACTGATGTTTCTTTTGTTGGTTTTCAACCATGCCTACACAAGTTCACACACACACATACACACATATATATATATATATATATATGTGGAAGGTCGTTTGGGGATCTTGTGCCACATAGTGCACCAGGTCTCTGTATTCGGCCCTTCAAAAAGTGTGAATGGTTCTGCACGAAACCTTTGCCACTATAATCAAATCTCATGTGTTGGTGTCGGGCTGTCAGTTCCTAGGAACTGATCTGCTTGACCCTTATATGTCGAATTCAACGAGTGAATCATATATATATATATATATATATATATATATATATATATATATATATATATATATATATACACACACACACATACAAATCAACAAAATTCCTACAAATCTACATACATATATATATATATATATTTTATATATTACATCCATGTATATTTTACCATTACATCCATGTGTATTTGTTATTGATGGAATAAGATGCAAGTATGTGTATCTTAGAGACATTAAAGAAAATGTATATACCGAAATATTTAAAATGTAAATCTGTCTTGACTCTTAGTTATAGACACACAGAGGTGTGTCACCCACACAAATTCATCCACAAGCATATAGTTCAATTTGTGCACAGAAACACGCCATCTCAAAGAAAGCTTTATTAGAAAGATCTTTGTAATTACATGAGAATGCAATACAAATCAAATTAAATGCAATTCTACATGCAGATTAAAACGTATCAAATCACTCTTCCATAACTTATCAGGCAGTAACATGCTAAATCCACTGACAAAATCAAAGACACACCCGCAGACACATTTACACACTTGAATGGGTGCACACATGCATAGACATACACATATTTACACACAGACACACACACAGACACACACACACATACACACAAATGAATAGATGTGAATACATTCATACACAAGTAACAATGAATACAAATAAAAAAATAACTAAGACATTCTGATGATGGAAAATATTTCAGTTCTGAATTTCCCAATGTTGGAAAATAATATTCTGCTTATTAATTTGGCAACAAACTATTAAGAATAGCATTATTGATGGAGAGATCAAACTTTTAGTTTCAGTTTGAAAAAACATAATGAGTTGTCTTGTTACCAACTAAAAAAATAGGAAAAAAAGAAAAAAAATGAAAGAAAGAGAAAAAAGAAAAAAGAGAAGAAAAAGAAAGGAGAAGAAATAAAAAAGAAAAAACAAGAAAATAGAAAAAAAAAAGAAAAAATTAAAAAGAAAAATGTCAAAATTAAAAAGAAAAAAGAAAGAAAGATAAAAAAAAGAAAAAGGATAAAAGAAAAATAAGAAAAAAGAAAGAATGATTTTATCACACACCCAGGAAGAAAAGACTGATGTAAAAAGAAAAAAAAAGGGTTAAGTTGATAATGAATAATTTTGAAATGTTGAAAATAATTTAACATTAAAATTAGAAATTGTATGATTTTTTGAGAGACAGATTTTGTGGCATATAAAAAGATATAATTATGTATGTCTATTATACATCATGTACAAACAATATATATATATACAAATTTACTTCTGGAAAATGTCAGTTGTTCCAGAGTTGGAAACTGAACTACATGTGTATGTATATTATTATATTATCAAAGATTATCAATACATCTTATATGACCACAAAATCTGACATATCATTTATATGAAATTTTGAAAGTAAAAAAGTGATGATGTTAAAAAATATAATGTTAACACAAGCTACACATACCTCGAACAATATAGTTCGATGCAAGCAGGTCATCACGAGTACCATACCAAATCTCCAATTCATCAATAGCAAAGTTTGGTGCTGAAGGTGAACCCTTGCTTTCTCCATGGTTGGGACGGCCAATCAGAAACTCTTTTCCTTGTGGTAGACTGTCCTTGTAATTTATGGCATAAGAATGGCCAACCAACTTATTGTCCACGTACATACTGAGACCAGATTGTGGATGCCAAGACAATTCTACAAAGTGCCATGTATCTTGTTTAAGGTTTGGAATTTGGAGCTTCCATTTTTTAGAATCACTCAGGAAGTTGACATACAGGTATCCTTCACGTTGGTACATGGAAATCCCTCCTTTTCCGGTGGAATAGTAATACATATTGTTACGGTAAGGTCCAAACTTCATCCAACTAGACAACAAGATACCATTTGTACATTTCTCCAGATTTCCAAGGCAAGTATTCAAGTGACTGCCAAGATTAATATACTGATTTGATCTGTTAAGATTAACTGCATAGCCTACACGACCTGGAATCAACTGTGGATCACCATTTACAGTAATGTACAAAGAATCATCTATAAGACGTTTACCACTGATCTTCTCCATGTCAATGAGATAGTTGATGGGACGTCCTGAAAAGAATTTTAAGATATATATGAAGATAATTGCTAGAATGGTTTGCGAAATATATAAAAATGTATATATCAACATATAGCATATTTTTCATAACGCAGACTTTTCCCCAAAAAAGTAACTCCTCCGAAAACCACTGTCTTATATTCCGATGACAAGATTACTAAAAATAGACTAATACCTAAACACACCTGTTTGATGTATTAATCTTCTGATAACCTCAGAATTAAATATATATGTTTATTCTGATTTTTAATTGTAATTTAATATACTAAAAATCCCTTTGTCTTATACTCTGATGGTTAGGTTACCAGTACTAGGCAAATAGCTAAATATACCTATTTGACACAGTCCTTTGACAATACCAGAATGAAATATTTATGATTACAAATGATTATCCTAATCTTAATTGTAATCTTAAATAATGTTAAAAAATATTACAAACCTCTCTGTCTTATACTCTGACCATTGGGTTACTAGTACTAGATTAACACATAAACAAAATCATTTGACACATTAATCTTTTGATGATTCCAGGATTATAATTACAATTTAAAATAATGTTAAAATATATTACAAGAGAATGAGAAATAAGTATGGATTAATCACTATGGAATATAATTTGTTTTCCTAATTATTCCTTTTTTTTGCGAGAAGAGACAGAATATAAATGTATTTGATGGGTTGGAAGCTGAAAAACATGAAAATGTATATAGTGATAGCAGACATCCGATTATCTTGTAAGATAAAGGTAGCATACTGTTTGGTCAAAATTCCGTATTTGGTGGTAAGACTAGAGTGACCAATCCAGAGTACAGACCTAGGTGATGGTATATGGAGTGTGTGCTGCCCAGATTGCATGCCTACCCACAACATTCTCTGCTGTACTAACAAGATCCAAAGAAATACAGGCTATTATATTGACTACAGGAGTTGCTGGCATGTTGTCAATTGTATGATTCTATTCCACCATGCCATAGGTTGATACATTATTATTGGCAAAATTTGGATCTGGATTTTTCACTATATAATATTTTATTAATATTTACCACTGAATTAAGTGCATTGACAAGGAAAACATTCATGTTGAGAAATAAGTATTTGTTGTGTAATATGAATTTTTTATCATTATGATAAATGATTTATCTATGTAAGGCTCTTTCTTGAAATTTTTTCTTTCAATGATGGTTTATGAGATCATCTCAATCGTGAGATTTTTCCTCTAAAGGTACTCTTGTGATCTTTTGTCAGACAAGGCTAAAGTTGATAAAT